CATGACAATACCAATTCCGCACGCTACAGTCCTGTACATCTGATGTATGAATCGAAACTAACTGACCACCATCATCAAAATTCATCTCTTTACATGATAACTGATTCTTCCCAAAGTGCCTTATCACACAAACAACAGATGATTACATCAAACGTATCATCCTTATGATAACCGATTCACGCACATTCCGTCCTCTATGTTGCAACCAATTACGGCACACTCCGAAACTCCCATCCATCACAGTATCGCATCGTCTCGAATTTGTTGGAAGTCTCCTCGAGATTGTCGCGCGAATTGCGCTTTTCATGCAGATTGCAAGAAAATTATCCTGCAATTCCGCTAGCCATTCTACTTCCGGGGCGCTAAGATTATATATTCGGGTATCTTGAGGCATTGCAAGATACGGATTAGGTCTAGTTTCGGCACGTGACTATAGCATCTACTCGGAAATAGCTTCACACGAGCTTAAAAACGATCCGCTAGGAAGTTACCAACTTTCCATCACTTCTCATATTAGTTCATTACACGGTTTATAATCATAGTGCCAAGAACGCTATGTGGGGTATATATAGTATTAGAATCTGATGAAATGCTTTATTTATAGTCACCAATGAATAGTATCATCAATCGTTATGAATATACACTATTGTAGAATGGAGTTTCACAACAACCCGTTTTACGTGAAGTGGCGTTATACTGTAGGTGAAAAATCCGATATTCGCGGTGATATGCAGTAGTCGTGAAATATATTTTTCACAAGTATTTTTCATATCATTAGGGTCACAACCCGTTTTACGTGAAATGTCGTAACACTTTAGGAGAAAAATGCGATTTTTTTCCCGCAAAGTGAAATGTGAGATGTTTCATCACTAGTGTTTTTTCATATCACCAGAGTGAAACTCCAATATTTATAATTACTATTTATCACCAACGTATAGTAGTTTATCGATAGAATACATCCTGGGATGAAATTACTAGGAAATTCTAATTAGAATTCCTCAATTACCACAATTTTTCCCCCAAGTTTGTGGTAGATCTAGACTCTCCATTATCCATCTCAACATCAAGCCTTGAAGATAGAGACATATTATTAGTAATAATAATACGAGTGGGAGTTAATAGGCTGAAGAGAATATTATCACATACAATACAATGAACACCTTATCATCACTTGTATCATTATATTAGCATAGCATAGTAGCTAGCCTAGACTTTAGCACAGCTTGTAGGATATTGTGCAATAGGGACGATTGTGGAGGGTCATGAGTAGAGGAGAATAAAGTCCTAGTCATTAGTAACCCACTCGTCACAAGTTCGCCTGTTTTATCCCCTCATCTTCCCATGGCTAACTTCCCCACCGCCGCAGCTTCAGCATTCAAAAAGTTCGTCGATCAAACCGGTTCTCCTTATCATTCAGTTCTTCAATGCGAAAAGCTCCTCAAAAACGCCGGTTTCGAGCGCCTCAGCGAGCGAGAGAATTGGCATCTCTCACGAGGTGGCAAATACTACACCATTCGTGATGGTTGCGAAGTCTTCTCTTTCGTTATTGGCAAAGACTTCGACCCTTCCACGTCAAGTATGGTCGTTATTGGTACCCACACTGACTCTCCTTGTTTGCGTTTGCGTCCGAATTCGGCGAGAGAATCAGAAGGCATGCTGCAACTCGGTGTCACCCCTTATGGTGGCGGCTTGTGGCACACGTGGTTTGATCGTGGTCTCGGGCTAGCTGGCAAAGTGGTGTATTCTCATGATGGTAAAATACATGAGAAATTGGTGCGAGTGGACCGTCCGGTTGCCATTCTGCCCAATTTGTGTCGTCATCTGCAGAGTAACGAGGAGAGGGCAGCGTTCAAGGTAGGTCTCTCGAACGACCCGGGTTCAATTCCTGCCAGTGTTAAAATATTTGATCGCTTTTCTCACTAATTATAGAAAATTTTGGTAGAAATGTACAGAAACCATTAAAAAATTCCACAGAATTTCCTCCCAGAATTTTCATACTGTCGCGACAACACATGTAGTTAATCATGTGCATATTTTCCACATGGTGAAATTTTTCTTCTTCAGTTCATCCTGAAGAGCACCTCATCCCCGTATTTTGT